TTCTTAATTTGGCCTCTTCCTTGACCTATGTAGGCACACTTTGTTCTACTTTAGTGTTTTAAAAAACCTTTACTTTGTTTATGGGCCATTTGTTTTTGTAGCATATTCCTCTTGAATTTTTCTTGTGGGGTAATCAATCATGAAAGGTATGAAATTTCAGTGGGTTCTAGGTCTGTCAAACGCTTCCATTGTTCAAAAGAATAGTATTCAATTTTATCTCCCTTTTGAAAAATCCATCTGGGAGGCATTATTTCATCGGAATAACACCTAAACCAGAATTGGATCTGGTGAATTATTTGGTAGCTTCTTTTCTCCACACAGTCCATTACTCCAAAGTCCTAATTCCATAACTTCCTGAGTAAATTCCATCAGAGCAGTGGTTCTCAACTGGGACTGATTTTGCCTCTATTCACCCAGGGGACACTTGGCAAAGTCTGCAGACATTTTTGGTTGTTGTAACTGGGGGATTGCTACTGGCATTTAGTGGCAGAAGCCTGAGATGCAGCTAACCATTCTATAATGCACAGGACAGCTCCCACAACAGTGACTTATCCGGTCCAAAAATGTCAACAGTGCTGAGGTTAAATCCGTCCTAGAGTATAGGAAATATATATCCATGCTCCTTACAATAAATAAATCACCTTCAAACTCACTTAATAATGGTGTCAAGAATCCAGTGCCCCCTTCAAAGGCTTCTCCACTTAGCTGCCCAGTTGTTCTATAATCACTTATGAGAACTGTCTAATCTTTAAGGGGTCATTCCAGTCACTCTTTCTACAGATGTTAACAGAAGTTATAAGAGGGAGCATCCAAATGTTCCCTTGACCAGGCCCTCTCAGGAGTGCTGAAGTTTGCTTTTGATTCCCAGACTCTCCTGTTACGTCCAGGAGCCCCAGTCACAGATTTGATCACGGTTTTATATTTCCTCTACAGTAGCACCATCCTAAAGAGCAGTTAAGACTAAGCTTATTTCCTTTATCCTGTTTTATCTGTGTAGGCAGGTCTTTAACATATCACTTTACCTTCCTTTTGGTAGAATCTGCCCACTGTTAATCTCAGATTTTCTCCTCCCAAATGTCTTATTTCCCTTAGTATAATCAATCCGTATTCCTTTATTTTTAATTTATTCTCCCATTGCTGCTGTCCTGATGATACAACTGAAACATTTTGAAAACCAGTTCGGTCACTTGTTGATTTACTTGAGAAAATTTAATTCTGAAATTCGTTGTGCAACCACAAAAGGCCTTTTAAAGTGACTTTATCACCATTTGAATCTATATTAATTTCATTGAATTGCTTTTATATCTGAATCCTAATATTTCATTCTGAATCCTAATCTATATCCTAATCTATTACTATATTTTATATCTGAATCCTAATCCTATATTCCCTAATAAAGGGCTTCATTATATGTGACCTGTTCGTTGGGACACCTCTGCAGATGAAACCATAACACTAGTTTCCAAACCCATAGGACAGACCACAGATTATGTAAATAACAAATCTAGAAATTCCCTGAGACTATATGAATGGATGTGACTGGTTAGGGCTATAAGAATCTCAGAGATTAACTCCTTTCCAGTTTATTCCTTGGCCCTGAATATAATTTAAAACAACATATAGAAGCTAACAGCACTACCCACCAACTTCTGACACCAAATCACGAGCTATTTCTTGGTAACCAACTTTAATTTAAAGTCTAATTCTGTCATTTAACTAAAAAATACAGTAAATGCAGCAGAAGTTGATTGTATGCCTTGTGCCTAAAACGCCTATGTTGTGAGGTGCTACTCTCTTGGAGGTGAGGTTTTACAGTGACCAAAAGACATCTTTTCCTTTTAGCCAAGTGGTTCTCAAACGAAGCCACATACAAGGACTACTAGGGGAGTTAAAAAGAAAAAATAGCAATGCTCATATCTTACTTCAGAGATTCAGATATAAATGTTATATTGTAGACCAAATTTCAGCCCTTTTGTTTAGGTCTCAAGGTTTTTGAGCAATGCAGCAGAACTTCAGAGTTTGGAAGTGATAATTATCATAACCTTTTCTTTCCCTGAATGCTCTGACCCAAATAAGGAATACATGAAGGGGTCAGAAAATGTCTGGCTGGTTAGCTCACTTGGGAAAGCATCATGCTGATAAAACCAAAGTCAATGATTTGGATCCCTGTACTGGCCCATTGCAAAAAAAAAAAAAAAAAGTCAGAAAGATTGAGAGCAAAACAACAGCTTCATAACTAATAAAACTAAATTTATTATGACCACTTGAATGTCCTAATATTTTCTCCATTGAACATTGAATTAAATTTACCCATGTTATTAAGGACAGGCCTTCCTTCCTTGAGCAGCTGCTACTGCAGGGAGATACAGAGAGTAAATGAAGCTTGAGGGAGGTAAGGAAGAGAATTAAGCATGCTGGATTTAAACATGGATTTATCTTTTTTAAATATAAACAGAATGTCTCCTTTGTGCATAATTCTTGCAAGGTGCCATAAGGATATGAGGAAATAAAAACATCCTTAGGATGTTTAAAATTTGGCTGGGAAGCCAAGACACAGACATGAAAAGCGAATTAAGAATAGAGGGCATGACTTAGCAATGGTCCAGTGAGGAGAACAGGCACGAAGTGCTCTCGTATTCCCTTGAAAATTCTAAAACTTTTTGTGGGCTGAAGTTTCAGGGAGGATTTTGTGGAGTTGGTGAAACCTGAGTTGGACCTTGGTGGAGAAGACACGTTTGGGGAGATGGAGGGAGAAAAGGAACTAAAAGCATGCCAACTTTATGTACAAACAGGACTGGCTACATAATTTGCAGTGCAAAATGAAAGTGCAAGGGCCCCTTGTTCAAATTATCAAGCATTTCCAAGCAGTGACAGTAGAGCATTAACCAAGTGCAGGGCCTTCTAAGCGAGGGGCCCTCTGAGAGTGCACAAGTCATAGGCCCCTGAAGCAGCCCTGGTTACAAATGAAGAGGTGAGTGCCTCATTTGGGGGGTTCTGTACACTTGTCTTTTGTTTCGAACTTTTCTCTAGAAATGGTTGAAAGGGAGAGTCCTGCCCTCTATAAGGAGGGGATGGGATGCATGAGAAGCAGCCTGTGCAGGCACTCCTGAATGAGAACCAGTTGACTGGGTGAATATAACACTGGGAGAGTTTGGAAATGGATACATTCAAGTTAAACAAGGAGTGATGTACATGTGGGAAAAAAATCCAGAACTCTGAAACAGAGGATCTTAGGAATTAAGCGAAAGTGAATGTCAAGATCTCAGAAGCAGAGGAAGAATTCTGAAGCAAAAGATCTTGAAGAATTAAGCAAAAGTGAAATGTAATGGGAAGTCAGTATGTGGCTCTTAAAGATTCTAGGTAAGATGATAGATAAGAGTCACAAAAAAGAACAAAAAACCCGGGCTAGAAATGAGGCCCTGTTGCAGATGTGAAGAACAGGAGAGCTCACATTCCTGACCTCCTGACTTGTTACATGTGTGGGGCAGGAGTAATAAGTGGAATAGTAGTAGCTTCTTTGAAATAGGATCTTTTCTCTATGTGCAATTTCATTAGTGAGAAGAAATATAGTTCAAAATATCCAGTGGACAAATATTTGAGAGTATTAGACTCTGGAGGAAAATGCCTGAAATGGGTTTGTGTGTTAGCTGAAATGATTTTGTAATATCTGCTTACTACTTGCAGAAACTCTTTGGTATTAAGCATTAAGATGTAAGTTTTATTGGTGGGTGACTTATGCTTTGGGAGATGACATTTAAATAGGAGAATTTTGAAATTAATGACTTTGAGGTAAATATAACTTGATAAGAGCATATAAATGAGGTTCCTGTTTATTTTAGTGTGGGGCTGAAATTTAGTATGACTTTGAAGAAGGGCTTTGAGAGTGAGATCATCATAAAAAGAATATTTCATTTTAGTTTTTAAAAAATGGTTAGACAGCATGATGTATAGTGTGGATTTGGAAGTTAGATAGTTCTGATTAATCTTCAGAATGTAATTCTGTGTATTACTTGCCTTGTTTCTGAAAGAGAAAAATAATAGCCTTTTCCATTTTGGTTTTGGGGTGTGTGTGTGTGTGTGTGTGTGTGTGTGTTTATACATTTTGGTTGGGATTTAAGGAACTATCTTTATATAAAAAATGCTTAGCATAATTCCCTCTATGAAATAGATGCTCAATAAATGTTTATTTCTATCTTTCTTGTCTGTATTAACTTTTATATAAAAAATGCTTAGCATACTTCCCTCTATGAAATAGATGCTCAATAAATGTTTATTTCTATCTTTCTTGTCTGTATTAACTCCATTCATCTCATCCCTAGTATTTTTTCTGAATTTTTTTCCAAAAAGAAGTCTTCAGTAACCCTTTTATCTTAGGTACATAGATTCAGCATTTCCGTCTTAATTAAATCTTGAAACTTTTAGATTTATAACCTTTAGTCAACTCAAAAACCTTCACAACATTCATCATAAATAAAGAGGAACCAGAGAACTTCTATTATACAAAATATGTAACTCTTGGGCACTTGAAAACTCATTGTATTTAAACTGTAGGAAATCTTAAAGTTAAACTTGTTTAATCTTCTCATTTATAGATAAAGATACCAAGTTCTAGAAAGGTGAGGGGAAAGGATTTGGAAGAAAGATTTGGTTAACAATTGAGTTATAGTCCCATAGTCCCCTGCTGGTCTGTAAGGTGATGCTTCTACTCTGGGCTGGGAAGATACACACCCAGGAAGGGGCGAGAGAAAAGGGGAGCAGCTGTGTTCTCACTGTTTTTTTAGTTGCAAACGTGGTATTGAGGGAAAAAAAGAACACTCAATAAACACCAAATTGAGAAGTTCAAAATGTAGTGAGAATCTCATTTACATATTTTATTTCTGAGCATGGTTGAAAATACAAACACAATAGAAGACTTACTTTATCATTAATAAATGTAATGGGTTCTTTTGTTAAGGTAAACTTTTGCAAATGCTTAATTGGGTTAAATTTTCATCTTACAGAATCCTGGTGAAATATTCATTATTTTGAGAGATGAAGTAATTGGTGATATTGTGGAGGTTGAATTTACATCAAATAATAAGCACATTAGAACACGACCAGCCCTTTGGAGTAAGAAAGTCTGGTGTATGAAAGCTTTAGGTAAGAATTTATATGCTGTAAAACATCATCCTGAGTTCCTTTCAATAAATTTATGTAAATGGTTTCGCTTCCGTACAGAAACTAGTATTATTCTGCAGGTGTTTCCTGTGTTTAGTTTTCACATACCCAACGCTGTTATGAATGTGGATTCACAAATGGTAAGACTATGTTAAGGGAAGTTAGTTTGTATACCATGTAGTGAAATGACAGCTAGTAACATCACACATTTTTAGATATGTCAGCAGAGAGCATTTTGTGTATATGAGCAATTACATATGAAACTAAAATTATTTGCTTTATTGTAACATGAGGATGAACAGATATTTAGAATTTTATTAATGAACTTTATTCCTTTCCTTTTTTTTTCTCCCCAAACCCTTGAGTATATTTTTAATTGTTCCAGAAAGCATAATTATTTTTCACTATTTCATCATCATGGTACCATTTCTACCTAGAATCTTCCCATTTTTTCCTTATTTATGAAGCTCATTGTTTGATTGTACAGCTTTACTTACAGCATGATAAATTGTATCAGATTTAAAATTCCAGATGGAATAACCACACTTGCTCCAATAATTGTACTAAAATCAAAATCGAATATACTAATTTCTGTATGTTTTAATATAAATGTAGGACTACTTGGTTTTTTAATTTATGATATCCTTTTATGATCAGAGAATATAATTACCTTATAAAAGTTCATGTACATGAATTTTATAAAATATTTTGGAATAAAAAGTTCAATCTTATGAATTTTGAAATGTAGTATAAATATTTAAAATTAAAGAGTATGTCAAACACATTCCAAGCTTTTTTTTTTTTTTTTCTTTTAGACTGCAGCTATTATGCAGTCCATCTACAGACCTTGGTTTGTGTTATGCAAAGCATGTGTCCCCTCTATGGATTTTTGTTACACAGCTTAGATTGGAATTGGATTATAAGAAGGAAAAACTTTACACCAAGTGTTTTTATACATTTCAGACACAGCTTCTTGTCATGAACGAGCATAGACAGAAGGGAGATGAGAAAGAACTCTGTCTCTTTCCTTTTCTTTCTTTCTTGTCTCAGAGCCCACTACTTCCATATGTCTCAGACTTAAATGATGTAATGTACAATAATTTCTAACTAATTAGTTTCAGAGTTTCAACTAAATCTAGATAGACTAAAATCACTACAGAAAAGTTAATATTGCAAATTAAGAAGTACTTAAATAATATTTTTCAAATAGCAGATCAGGATGTCAAATAAAATTATTCATGTTATTTTTTGCTTAGAATACCTAACAGCTAAGAATAGTGCAAAGAATAAAACATGCCAAAGTTCAAATTATTTATCAGAAAAGCAGAAAACTAATATTACATGTTTCCTCAGATGTACCAGAGCATAATATCATCAACATGGTTAAACAGCAATTTTGTAGCAAGTCAATAAATCAATCAATAAACAAACATAAAACACTAATTACTAGCCATGCTAATTAAACTTCGAGTCATTCTTTCAACAGATGTGTTTTATAAATTAATGAGAGATTTATTCCAAAATGTTGGCTGCTAGTTAGCAATATACAAGATGGTTACATGAACCTTTGTGGGAATATGGATGGGAAATGCCTCAGCAGAAAGTCCCACAGTCTTATTTTCTCTGCTTTGTGGCACTGTTCTTTTTTTTTTTTTTTTCCTTTTTGTCTTTTTTACTGACTGGCAACGGGATCGCAACCCTCGGTGTTGCGCCCAAACCGCGCTCAGCCAGTGAGCGGGAACCGCTCTCCACATGGGATCCGAACCCTCGGCAGGAGCGCCGCCGCGCTCCCAAGCGGCGCACTCTCCAGTGCGCCACCGGGCAGCCCGTGGCACTGTTCTTTGAAATGTTTTGAAGCCTAGTAAGGATTACATTTTACATCATGACCTAGTACGTATGCACAAATACATAATGAAAGCAAAGGCTTTAAAAGCAATACTTTGACTAATGGTTTCAGCTACAACATGTAGGAGCTTAGGAGTTATCACTCCCATTCTCACAAGAAAAAGCTGAACAAAAAATCCACCACTTTTTTTGAACTCGTCAGAAAACTAAGGTCATAAGGTGTAGAGGCGGAAAGGTATAATACCTCTCTTCATACATCGTAAAGGTCATGGCCGACACTCCTATAACAAAAGACAAGATAAAAACATAACAAATTTATTTAACCACTATTTATGTAACACAGGAGTCTTCAGAAATAAAGACCCAAGGACCCAGGGAAAACTGTCTATTTTATGCTTAGGTTCAATGGAAACTGGACAGCCATGTAGAAATGTGATGAGACAAAAAGGTATGACCTAGAGGTAATGGTCTTAGGGGGGAACTTAGCAAGGCCTGTCTGTTCAGATTCTTCTTGGCCTCTCTGTGTAGCATTCCTTCCTCTGGAGTATGGGGTGGGACAACTCTGGAATGAGGGTCTATAAGGAGAAAGGAAGAAGGGAGTATTCTAGGTTTTATGGCTGGTTTGGGGGAAGAGGAGTTCTAGAGTGTATGACCGTAGGAGGAATTCTAGTTTCTGTGAGTTGTTTCAGGGGAGAAAATGGGGTGGGAGACAGAAGGATCAGAGAAGGTCAAAGAGACCTTGCTACTGAGGCCCTTCCAATCTTCTTTAGTTCAAACTATTCAGTACGCTAAGGCGCCAATACTTTGGAGTATTGTGTTCTGAGCTCCCACAAGGCCAAACCACTATCCCAACATCTGGAGAGAGGTGAATGAAGGGAGTGACATCTGAGATCTGATTACCTGGAGCAGAAGTCACTGGAGCCATAAACTGTAGAAGCACTTATATGTTAATTTTGATGAATTGCTGGAAGCTGAGTGTGGACTAATTTCAGAGTGAGAAACTCCTGGTGACTGTAGTTTTAAGGGGCTTCCACACTTTTGCGGGATTTGCCTCCAGGAACTCCACCAGGTTCACACAGTAAAGATCTGAGAATGAGCCCCAAGCTGGGTCAGAAGAAGAATAATCATGGTGAAATAGTGCCGGCATGTTCTCCATAACAAAGTCCTGCTCTCTAGGGAAAAGCACTTTACCAGGGCCTTATCTCAGCTGAGGAAGGGCACCATCCTCCTGTAGACCCCTGTGCCTTCCCGTCCCACTTACGGGGAATAGGAGAAGCTATGTCACAGGAAAAACACTTGTAAAGTCGGGAGCAAGAGACACTAAAAGACTCAATGTAATCATAAGACTATAGAATGCCTCCCCTCCCCACCACCTTGTGGTTACCACAGCAAGGTTCCAGTATGAGGAAAGTGGATTACAGTCAGTTAAAAGAACTGCAAGACTCAGACTCTTTCTGGGGAAGAGTATTTAGGAAAGTATAAAGTCAAGAAGGGGAGATGAAAACAAGGACAGGAGAGGAATTTAAAGCCTCTAACCCCTGCAGCTACAGCATTAAATACAGCCTAACTCCTAGCCAGATTAATATAAATTCTTTCATTACAAGACTATTTACTTCAATTTTTATTACCTAATACAACATGTCTGCTTTTCAACCAAAAGTTGCAAGTCATGCTAAAAGGCAAGATAAAACAGTTTAAAGAGATAAAGCAAGCATCACACCAGACTTAGACAGGACACAAATGCTGAAATTATCAGGCAGGGAATTTTAAATAACTATGATTAAAATGTTAAGGGCCCTTATGGAAAAAATACACAATGTATAAGAACATATGGATAGGGTAAACACAGAGAAACTCTAAGAAACAGTGCATCTGAAATGAAAAGTAACTTTGATGGGCTCATTAGTAGCCTAGACATGAGTGTGAAAAAAATCATTGAATTTGAAGATTGGTCAATGAAAACTTTCCAAACTTAAATACAAAAAGAAAGAATTTTTTTTTTTAAGAAAAAAGACATAACATCCAAGAAATATGAGACAATTTCAAGGGTGAAACATGCATGTAGTTGGAATACAAGAAGAAGAATGAGAAACGAAGCACAAGAATTACTCAAATATCAATGACAGACACAAAACAGATTCAGGAAGTTCAGACAACACAAAGCAGGGTAAATGTAAAAAAAAGGCAACATCTAGACATATCATATTCAAAATTCAGAAACAAGTATAAGAGGAACAAGTATAAGAATTATGTTGGACTTCTCTTCAGAAACAATACAAGCAAGAAAAGAGCAAAGTATTTCAAATATTATAAAAACAAAAACAAAACAAACATTGACTTATATAAAATTCTATATCCAGTGAAATTATACTTCAAAAATGAAGGAGAAACAAAGACTTTCTCAAACAAAAATGATGGAGTTCATTGACAGCAGACCTGCCCTGCAAAAAATGTTAAAATTTCTTTCAGAAGATGGGAAATAATATAGGTCAGAAACTCGGGTCTACATAAGGACAGGAAGGTTATCAAAGAAAGAGTAAGTGAAGGTAAAAATGAAAATTTTATTTTCTTTATTCTTAACTGATCTAAAAGACAAATGTGTGTCTGCGTAAAAATAGTAACAATGTATTGAGTAATTATACCAGATGAAATTCATTAAGTGAAATGAATGACAGCAATGTCATAAGGATGGGAAGTAAGCATTGGGAAGACCCATTACAATGTACCTGAACTACATGTAAAGTGGTATAGTGTTGTTTGAGGGTGGACTTAGGTTTATTAAAATATATATTTGAAACTCCAGGACAACCATTAAAAATTTTTTAAAAGATAAAATTGGTAGGCTAAGAGGATATAAAATGAAATCATGTAAAATTCTCAAATAAACCAGAAAGAGCAGAAGCAGTTGGGGTGAGGAGAGTGAACAAAGAACAAATGCAGAGAATAAGAACAGTTACATGTGGTGGACAGTAACCCAACTATTTACTGAAGCCAAGTGTTGGCTACTTAAATGTGAATGGTCTAAGAGCACCATTTAAAAGACAGAGATTGACAGAATAGGTAAAAAACAATACCCAACTGCATGTTGTCTATAAGAAACTCACTCTAAATGCAAAGACACAGATAAAACAAAAGTA